CTATAAATTTAATAAAACATATATATTTGTAGAAATGTACTTCTTATAGTTTCAAATTATAAGTTTGAAGTTTATGCATTTAAAAATATAATTAAAAATATAATGACTCTTAACAATAATAATTGTTATTTATTAACTATAAAAAATAGCAATTACTTCAGGGTTTTTTTTCAAAGAATAAAACCTGTACATGTGTAATGATAGGATAATTGAGTAATTAAACCATTAACTTAATTTTATTAATTAAAAAGATTACAGTGTATGTTACCTTTATAATTTTCCGACGACCTAATTTCTCTGTAACAAATGATTATGAACATTTATAAAAAGGGGTAAAAAAAAAAGAATTATGAAAACAATTACCAATAAATGTTTTATAAACATAAAAAATAAATATTTTTGGAAATCTTAAAATTTACCATACAAAAAAATCTTTTGAGTAAGTTTTGTAATCATTAAGCAATTTCAATCTTATTACACGATATATAAGGAATATTTTATAAGTTAAGAATTTATATGCATTTATAATTGTTGTATACAAACGTGCACTAAAAAATATCAAATTATGTAAGAAAAGGTTACAAATTATACAGGATAAAATGTATTATATCTTTTCATTGTATTTCGTAAATTTTATATAGTATATCTATGTAGTATAAAAATATATTAGTTGATTTTTGTTTAATAAAAGTTCAATAAACTAAGAATACATTTAATTTTAATTATTTATACGTTTTGAATTATACATTGTAAAAACCAAGTAAAAATTACAACGAATGAAGTAAAAACCCATAAGTTACCAAAATGTGTTCCATTCTGTATAAATATGGTGGTAATTAGTAAAAATGTACTTGTAGAATGAAAAACTACGTTGAACATCAATATTCATTATTAGTGCGTGTTTTAATCATTTAGAAAAAACAAATCGTTGAAATAAATACTTACATTTTAAAGTATTTTTGAAATTTCTTTTAAACCATTAACCCTTTATTTGTATAAAATCATTAGTGCATTTATTTTAACTGTTATAAATATTTGCTCTAGTAAGAAGTACATTTAAAAAAAACACTTTCGCTTGTTATAAAATATTCTATGACTCTACAAGTGATAAGTTAGAAATTTCAAGCTTTTTGATATTTAAAATGATACAAGAAAATTTTTTAAATGTTAGTTCTCAATTATAAAAAAAATAAGCAAACTATGCAAAAATGTACAAAACTAACATCGGGATATGTGAAAATATTTATACAAAATGTTTGTTATTTGATCAATCAAGTAATGACTTATGGATACTCATTGGTTGCATATATTTGATGTATAAAACAACACAATAAAAATGAAATTCTCTTATAATAATTATATTATTATTATATTATTATTGTATGAAATTTTCGGGTTAAAAACCATCCTACTTAATATACGTTCGTAATAAAATGTATAATTTAATTTGATAGAAAAATTGGATACCTACTTGGTGTATTTTAAATACCCGTGTCCGATAATTTTTTTTAATGCATATACATATATCAATTTACTATGAAATAAGTTACAAAATAATTTTATAATTGTCATTTACAATTATTATATCCTTGAGAAATTGTACCATTTCATATGAATTAAATATTTTTGTAAGTTGGGTCATATTTGTTATTATTATAGTACATAAACAAATGCATCTGCTGCATGTCCTTCTGTCGGTTAAAAACATTTATTATTTACAGTATTGTATTTTTTTTTAACGCTGTCCTTCCTTAACTCCACAAAGATCGAAATCTAAATCATTTCCTAATCCATGATAAGAATCAGATATCATACTTATTATTATTATTATATTTCTGTTAAATCCTTGATAAATCCCAACAATTTCAATTCAAAAAAATTTCGTTTCAATGTCTTTTAATATTTTTTTTTTTAGTTTTCCTAATGCTTTAGTAACATCATTCGATTTTACCAGCATTATGTTCACAGTATTAAATTAAAAGGTTATTTTAGTATTATTTGTCAATATCGCCGTCGTGGACTTAATTACTAATGAGTATCTCAATCGATGCTTGATAATGTTTGCAGATACTAATTAGATGACCTCTTAAACGTGTCTATTAACACAATATAAACTTCGAACGCTATATACACTCTTTAATAACTTCAATAATATTTTACTAATATGATCTTCAATTATATTTTATTAGAGGATTTATAAGAAAGAAAAATTTTTTTGGTAGTTAAGGTAGTGTACCGAATAAAAAATGAGGAAATACACACAATAAGTATATCTTAATGTATTATCTATTCTTAATACATTTCAACTGTAATTTCAATTTTATGGAATATTTTATTATTTATTCGGTTGATCTGTGAATCAGTGAATGTTGTTATACAATATGTGCTCAATATTTATTACATTTTACCGTTGTTGGCAAATTTGTCTAGACATGACCGATTATCTGAAGGTTATTATGAATTGTGTACATACTTATATAGTTACAATTTAAAATTTTAAATGTCATCATATAGTTTACAATTAAAATGAAATAAAAGGACACATTATGACATTTTAAGGGATCCTATAAACCAGGGGTTACGAGCATGTGGCACGCATACTTAAAATGGCAAGGATACATGAAAAATTAAAAAGATGATTAAGTTTTATTATATTTTCATCCACAAAACGTTATTATTGTAAGCTATTATACTTATTTGGTATCAAATCAACTAAACGAAATTATTTTAATGAATAACAAACTGTAAATCTTTTAGATTACAAAAGTATTTGGTTTTTTTAACTTAATTTATATTTTTGTGATATTTTTGTAGATAAAATGCCTCAAAATTTATTATTTTCAAGTATTTTTAAAATTTCCATGAAACACCAAGATAATATTGTTCTTTATAAAAATATTAAATACGTATTTCTTTTAATAAAAAAAACTGTTTGTGGTTTTAAGAGTTCAAAATTAACTCGAAGTATTTGTCTTGTACTGTTTTTATTTTTTTTTACAAATATTTATAGTTAATTGTTTTTACTAATAATTACGATTTCGCATTAATTCTACTTTAAAATCATATTACATGCAGAATTTAATAATATAAATTTAATTTTTAATATTTTGTATTTCCTCGGTGATTCTTTGATAAAATTTAATTTTTTTGTAAATTTGTTGCACTTTATATATTTTCTTAGAAGTTTATTTGTAATCATTTTCTTCAAGTTTAATTTATAAATTTATGATACAATATAGTATTGAAATCGATGGAAATGGTATTATCGTGGTTTACAATAATTTATATCGATTTGTCTTCTAATACAAATCTATATTATTATTATTTGGATTTTCTGTTTGATATTATTGTGTTTTTGTTTTATTATTTTACTGTGTTGAAGTGTGAGAGACTTGTACAAAAATAGTTAGATAAATATGGTTTTTGTAAATATTTATTTTGATAACTTGTTTAGTACAATAAATGAAATGGCATTTTAAGACTTTTTATTCATTTTGAACGTAAATTTATTTATTCTACGACACATTAAGTTTATCAATCATAAAATAATTGTATTATTTTAAAACCTACATATCGTTTTGACTTTCACTCAAAACCATTTTTCGGATGCAATGATTCATCTCTGATTCCAAATGTTTCATAAATTACGACATAAAATTTTGAATTACGTATCATTCTACATCCGTTATCAGTATCCTGTTCAAGGAGTTGAACGCCACGGGATAAGCACCCGGTGCACTAATATATGAGACCTACGGATACCGCAGAACCCGTTTCATTTACTTACTATTATTATTACAACATGGGAGTGCAAATACGTCTCAAACGAATCGCTAGTTTAAAATCTTGGTTTTCAGTATATCGTTGCTCGTCTCGAAGCAGATATGCAAGATAACCAAAAACGTTAACACTATTATTGAAATAAATAAATGTGTAGTAGAAATAGTTCAACATTTTGCAATAGAACCGCAACACTTGTACTTCGCAGAGTATTGAGAAACAGGTCAATCCGTATCTACGCTTTCGTAATCTTCGTTCAAATTAAAAAAATTGTTAGTAATAACGCTTGTGAAACGTTACCACTAGGTTCGAGACGTTCGTTCGTCTATCACGATGCATGTAAAATACAAAAAAAAAAAAAATAATAAAAGAACGGATGAAAGAATAAAAATATTCGTCCGCACGTAACACCTAATGTTTTGAATCCGAAGCGCGAACAGCTAACACGTGTACGAATGTGTCTTCCTGCGAATGAACGGTTACGGATATGAATCCTGCGCACGTGGTGCGGTACACACGGTCGATCCGGAACGGCGAAGACGGTTCGCGCTTTTAAAAGATGCGTACGTATTTCAGCCGAAGGTTGTGGCGGACGTGCACGCATTGTTAGCTGACACGTGTAAAAATGTATTACGATAACTATTGTTGCGTTACCGCGGTAAGAGTTGCGGCCCGAAATCGTTTCCCATTCGTTTGGATTAATGAATACGTCGTGGGCAGAGCCGCGTTTAACGGGTGTGTGTGTGTGTGTGTGTGTGTGTGGGTGGGGAGCAAGGGAGGTAGGGAGGGGGCGATTGCCCCGGGACGGCAAATTTTTGAGGATCAACACGAAAACGAAAAATACATAGTTATAATTTTTCTCGGTGCAACTGCGGTACGTATGATTTTTTGTTTATTTCGAACTGTAATTTTCGCGGCACATCGCCCATTCGCCCCCCGGGGCGGCTGCGTAGCTCGACGCTGCGGCACCGGTCGCGCGGGCACGTGAATAGCAATGGTTCTTCACACGACGGTTTTTCCGTCGCCGACGTGCGCCGCGCGCGCGGTTTGCGCGTGCGCGACGATGCCCGGTGATTATTATTGGTCGTCGCCGTCGTGACCGTCGTGATCGCACGGGGATCGGTGCGTACGCGATTCAAAGACCGCGGTGTAAAGGGAAAGGGAGAGAGCTTCGACGACCGTGAACGCGATGAGCGGATCCGCGGCACCCGGCAAACGGACGGACGGCGTGCAGTCATTGTTCGGTGCCCGTTGGCTCTGTCCGCACTGTCCTGGAGATAAAACGAACATCCGCGGTCCACAGGCAGCTAGTTACGTGCATCACACGTGAGCGCGCCGGCCACTTCTCGTTCCGTTTCTGTGCGTACGAACCGCGCGGCAAGCACACGCCGGTAGCATCGAATCAACGTTTTTTTTGCCGAGAGCGTCGCCGTACAATATCCGTATACTTGCACCGCCGCCCTACGACCGCGGTATACGACCGATTCGCCTGTTCCCGTCACTTGCGCCCAGTGTGTTAACAGCTTATCGGTTTAACCGTCCGGCATGCCGACGTGAGTTGATCTTAACGCGTACGCGATCGCACGCGCGCGACAATTGTGTCGACGAACGTGGGGGGGTTTTTTTTTTGTTTTTTCCTCCCCCCCCCCCCCCCCCCCCCCCCCCCCCCCCGCCCCCCACGGTTCTATACGATATTATTTGGTTGTAACGAAACCGTTCTTGTAATATGTTTTCCTTGCGACACGCGTTTTTATATTTCCTCGATCCTCGACGAGAGTAAATATAAAAAAAAAAAAATCGGTACAAATCGTATTAAATATCGGGAGAAAAAAAACATGTTTGTATGTTGGTAAATTAAAATGTTGAAATCATGTTTTTAGGTAAAATTTTAAAGCTCAAATATTTCTTTAACGTTTGCTATTTCTTATTGTTCGATTTTAAAACGTTATGCAAATCTTCGAATTCTTGTACCAGTTGTCTATAAACAACTATTTGGTTTTATCTTATTCATTTTAAACAGTAACGGTTTGCATAATATGGAACACAAACATGATACACAAAATTACTCATGAATTATATTAGGTGCAATAATGAAATACAACGACGTATACGTTTGAATAATAACACTTTCAATTCTTTACTATGTTACTATTTGCGTTCACCTGAGCTCCTTTTGTAAATACAAAAAATTATGTTTTATTAATTCCTACATTATTTTATCCACGTATTATTTGTGTTCTCTATGAACAGTAATATACAAACTTAGATATATAATGAAGGAAAGTAGTATTCTAGCAGTTTGCCTTGTAATATAAAATGAATCTTACACCGAACCGTTGCTGTTCATTGATAAATAAATTATTACAATTATACATCAAAGCCAACATTTGATTATTAAGCTTTTCGATTAATCAGATTGTTTTTTTATTGCAGATCACTGTGTTGATAATGTTACATGGATAAATCGAGCTGCTGTTATACATAATAATCTACATACTCGTACTCCGTTTGCTTTGCGAAAGACGCCGTGATAAACTGAAAACATTATCAAACGCAAAATGAATCAAAATCAGCGAAATTATTACAAAAAAAACATAGTAGCTCTGAATTTGACCGCGGCGTTGATAAAGAAAAACCCAGAGGACGACACTGACGACGAAGTGAAATGGCCCTGTCTCGAGACGACCAGCGCCAAAGATTCCTCCACGGAAACTTCTTCCACTACCTCCAGGGACGCAACGTCCAACGCTTCCGATCAAAAGAGGAAACCGTATTGCACTATAGGTATGGGTCTCACTAAATTGACAGTCGATTTTAGTAAATCAATTATTTGCATGCAGTTTTTTTGCCGTCCGTTTACGTTTTGCACGTTCCGTAATATTCCGGAAAATTATTGCACTATTTTCGTGCGGATCGATTAACGCATGTCGTATGTAGCGCGTGAGAAATACGAATGGTAGGCATTGTCCGTTGCATCGGACGTTTACGAAAATAAAATGTACGGTGTGCGATATCATTGCCGAAGACGTTGATACAAACTTAAAATGTAATAGGAATATAAAAAAAATATATCACAACTTTTTTTTCTGCAACTAAAACGAAAACCATTTCAATCAATATGTTAATGGTTATCTTAAATGAAAGTTTAACGCGTGTTGTACACCAGTAATTAGGTGTGTTTCAATATCTTAATTCCAAATATTTTTTCGGCGAATAATAAAGTACTTAATTAAAAATGTACAAACTCATAACTAATGTATATGGATTTTGAAATATCATTTTACCTATTTTTTCATGATAAATGTAATTATTTCATATAAAAATTGGTCTTTTAAAGACATAGGAATACAATATTATTTTTAAACACTTATCTATAATAAGTGTTTGTAGTTACATGTTTTATAACGACAACTAATAGACCTTAAATACTTGTAGTGAATAACTACAACAGCATAAAGTTTAAATTTCACTTTTCCCCAAGGTTTTATGGTTTTCTTCAAACGAAGTATAAATTAAAAAAAAACCACAAATGATAAAATTATGGTTTGAAAAAATTTGTTTTAACCTGAATCTGACGTCATATGCACTCATTTACTAGAATGAAAAAAAAATCCGGTATATTAATAAGTGATTGATAAACTAGGAGAATTTCAATGATTTTTTAATTAAAATAATATTAAATGATAGTTGTATTTTTATGTAATCAAGCTTTTCTCATTACTGCAAATATATTCTTTTATTTTTAGGTTTTTTATTTCTATCAAATTACCAATTGTTTAATTTTTATAGCTTATGTAACACTTTAGTTTTGTACATTTTATGGATCTTACGATATTTTTTTTTACTTCAAGTAAAAATAAATAAGTTCATGGACATTCATATTCAATTGCATGTTCTTTTCACAATTCACCGTTTTAAACCCATAATATTTTACTATTTTCAATAACAATAATTAATTCTAGTGGAAAGGTCATCGGCAGATGGCGAAAACATCAAACATTAAGTAACGTCTGCAGATAGAGATAATAACATTTCACGTATTGATTCACGTACGTTAATCATATACTATTTTGCATTTCACATTTTGCTAAAAACTATACTAATATGTACAACAAGCGATAAGATTTTTCACCGATCGTAAAGAAGTAGTAGTCAGCCTTGGTAATCGGTTTATTTCAAGCGTCGCTTGTGCAATAGAAATTGGAACTAAATCAACCTTGCATCCCACCGGTTCCCAAACAAGCCAAATTATCTATTAAAACTTGTTTATTATTTCGTTGAAGTACTATTATAAGCACATGGGGGTTGCAAGAAAGACAAACACCTTAGTAGTTATCAAACTTAACCGTGAATGTATGCTTAGAAGCTATTGGCTTATCGTATCAACATTTTTATATTTGCAATTTTTGAACGGATTATATGCTGCACATGAACTACTCCGAAATATTTTATGGTCATGATTAATCGCGTACAAATTTCGAATACGACGACATAATTACGTGTTGTTTCTAAATTCTTTCTAAATCTTTTTAAATTCGTTACACCTTTTTACATACATACAAATTATAACCATGTTGAAAATCAGTAAACATTTTTGTAACTAAAAATTATGCAACGACTGTAAATTGTATAGTGTTATCTTTTGTGAGACTATTAACTACCTACTAACCATTCGACAGTGGAATCAAATGAGGGTTTTTCCTTACGGTTTGTCGTTCCAACCAGTTTAATTGTGTTTAAATATTATATTTCGTTCATTTCTTGTATTCGAAACACGAAATCCTTAGATAATTGTTCTAAATGTGTACGGATCCACACCAAATGGTCTTGAGATTATGTATTTTAAAGAACAATAAAAACAACGGAACAGCGTCTGTACAACGAAAAACATCGTGTTTCAATTAACAACAAAAGATAATAAAAATCATAAAAATGTCTAAAGTAAACTTAGATATTCTAAAATACAACATGAAATCTCACTAAAAATAAATATGACTAACATATAAGTATACTCACATAGGTACTATTTAAATGATCCAAATGTAGGTTTACAGTAAAATAAATATTGACGTTTTCTCTTTATTATCGATGCTGGAAAACAATAATTTGAATGTTGATATTGAACTACGAGTAAACTTCGGAAAAATAAATATATAGATATAATAAGTAGGATAAACATGAATAATATGCGTTGAGAAAGTCAGAATTCTAAGTAGATTATAAGTGCAGTTGTGTTTCGTGTAAAAAACATGTCATAGTGGCTTATATTAACTATTCGGTAAATTTGTTCAACCATTACGTAAACATTTTACGCAACATTTTATAATGTTTGAATCAATATCAAGGCCAATAACACGAATCTAGTAATGGTAACGACAGAAATAAAAATTCGAAGATGCACCAACAATCGTAGCGTTATATTTTATTTAGTCTAAGGAATTGTATGGTTTATTTTTTCACGACTAGATTTTAAAAAACGAACACGTACATTTTGCATATACGTCGTAGGCCCGTTGTATTGCGAATCTTCCACTGAACAATAATCGAAAAATTGTTGTAAATTACAAATATACAAACATAATATTTTATGCATAGAGTTGAACAATAATTATTATTATCTTTACTCATAATCAATTAGTTAGAGACGATCGAATTTTAATAATTATAGCCCGTCTCTAATTTCTTTTTATGGGGTATGCCAACTGTTAATTATATTATACTTGATCAGTTTGTTGAACTCTAACGGATAAATTATAAATTTAACGGTGGGCGTAGGAATTTCGTTGATCTTTTGTTCAAAAGATCTTTGTCACTGTTAACTTGGTATACACATGTATATAGTTCGACGATTTATTTATTCGGTTGTGTTCAAACATAAACCGTTAACATTAAATACACCGCAAAACACAAAACAAATGACCCTATTGTTTTCACATCTACTAACATATAAGACATAAATGTATGAAAATTATTTATTCAGCTTAATTTATACTCGTCCCAACGAATACATTTGTTTTTCGTAGTATACACGTAGTGACATACACATATGTAAACTTTTAAATTCTGTCATGGTGTAAAACACACAGCAAATATGAAAAATATATTTTTGATAAAATGTTTGAAATGTAAACCAATCGTTGAAATATTATGTGCTGGTTGATAAAATGGGTTTGAAATAATAGCCAACATGACGTATGTGCATAGAATAAGGATTTATATTAAAATATCAATGATTGGTTTAACGTATAGGTTTACAGTACAATAATTCTATTCACAAAAATTACGCATCTTGTCTACATAAAACGTTCTGTTATTAAATAATGTCGTACTACGATGACTTTTGAAAATTCGTCTTTCGCACGTGTCCGTATCAAATATTCAAACGTATTTTATACTTCCCGTTGCGTGTCCGGGTGCTCTTGGGTCATCATAAACTTAATGGATTTAATAAAGATCGACGGTACCTACGTACGTCAAACATAACCGATATTCCAGGATATGACGTCGGTCGCTTTTGAGGTTTTAGAATCGTCCAACGCTGCCAGAATTCGCTCGTAGACTATCGTCATCATGTTCACATGTTAATTCACTTGTCTATCTTATCACGTCGTGTCCAAACCGACTCGAATTTCAATGGGTTCTCACAGCGTGTACTTGTGTCGACGGCCGAGTTTACGGATCTATTCATCGAATACGTCAATAGGATCCTTTGTAGCGCGGTTACACGCCATGAATCCTTAATTCGTCTGCCGGTCCGCCGTAGCGTATAACAGTTGACCAACTGTTGACCTTGGGGAAATCCGTGGACAAATAATGACATTAATATTTCAATGTTACCGCTGGTCGTCGCTTTCAAAGAAGTCGATATCAATTCAATCGTCCAGTCAACAAGTTCTATGCAGATTTCAGCGATAGCTAATCGGAACTCACTGCTACGTATCAAGTAGGCGAAATTTTTCTATTAACCACACTCCGCACGGATCGCTCAGACGTCATATCGGCAACACACCATTAATGTTATTTACATAATATTTTGAATTGACTACCTAAATGAAATGTAAACGGTACATAATGTTGTGTAGTGCAATATCGTCCGTCCCATCAAATATTCGAGGTAATTAATCATGTATGAATCTTTAAACGTCATACACACTCAATATATTATGTACACATATGTTTACGATCTTTTCGTACGTGTGTGTGTTTACTAAAGTTATTCCCTTGGTTAAATATTGTTCTTTACTATTGCGTCTACAACTAATGTAATAATGAAAATTAGCCGGAAATAAGTCATAAGGATAATAAACATATTACATGTTTACGATCGGTGTAAATTAAAACACAAATGGGTGCCACCAAAAGTTCCTTTTATCATAAATATACAAAGAATCGGATTTTTTTTTATCCAGAAATGTGGGAAACTTTTCCGTGGAAAAATGTAAACGTTGAAAAAAAGTTTTCAAAACAAGTTGTTTATCATTCGAGCCATGTGATTTATACGAAATAATACGTTCAACAGAGTTCGACTAAACATTTTATTTCCTACGTAATATGATAAATAATGGTTAGGTTAGGTAATAATAGCTAAACATTTTTTAAAATACCGGTCGTTGATTCGATCGGGTACATGAGGCGTACATGAAACTAAACGATGCCGCGGACTTGCGTTGAAGAAAAATCACGATCGACACTAATATGTAATTGACGTTGAATCGATATTTTTTCTCACGGAAATACATTAATATATAGCTACGATGGTATACGCGCACAGCGTTCGAAGAAGG